TTTCAATCGTCACCTACAAAGTTTGTACTTCTAACTTTATTAAGGTGACCCATATATGTTCTATAGCATTTTGCTTAATAAAAAATGGTTTTAAACCTAAGTGATATAACATGACTATCGAATCAACTTTCGTTTCACCTTTTAGTTGATCATTTCAAGTTACAGAAATTGATCTACACACTTTATCACACACATTAACACATAAACATGATGCTCATGACATGTTTTAGTAAATGATTTATGGTGTAACACCGAGGGTGTTATAGATCTACAAGCTACGAGCAATCCACTAGAGATGCCTTTCGTGATCTCCCACGGGGAAGGCTCAAGAAACCCTCACAAATCCATGGATTAGAGCCGGAGACAAGCAACACCCTCTGCTCAACGATCCATGCTGCTCCAAGCCGTCTAGGTGTCGGCAAACACCAAGAGTAACAAGAGAAATCTACAGCGAAACACAATCACCAAGTGCCTCTAGATGCAATCACTCAAGCAATGCACTTGGATGCTCTCCAATCTCACCAAATGATGAATCAATCAAGCAAAATGAGTGAGAGAGGAATGGCTAGGCTCATAAGGTTGTATCACTGATGTAAATGTGCAAGAGAGTGAACTAGAGCCAACCATCTTCTTTTTATACAGTCCCAAAGGCTCACTAGCCATTATACTCTACGGGCCGTTCAGACCGAGGGTCTGGACCAAAGCTTGGGCAGTCCGGGCCAATCAGCAAGGCTGCAAGGGTCCAGACCCCCTTGGCCGCCAGTGGCAGCGAGCCACGTGTCCTGTTTGAAATGCAGACGACCATTGCCGCACAACGGCTCCATTCCCGTGTGTCCGGACCGTGGGTCCGGACTGAGCATAGTGCTCATTCGGACCAAGCGTCACTAGAGTCCGAACGACTCCAGTAAGGGTCTAGAGGGGCAAAAATGGTCCGGACTCCATCTAACTCCACCGTCCGGACCAATTCTTAGCGTCCGGAGCTGCCTTGCCTCTTCGCTACTCCCCATGTGGTTGGGGCCTCTATCCAGACCAAGGGGCCATGGTCTAGACGCCCCACGTGTCTAGAGTCTGGAGCCATCTTTGTCAAAGACAGTGTCCCTAGGGCAAGGTTACGGACCCAACAAATGATGGTGGGACCATCGACACCCTAGGGTCTGGAGCTCTCTCTTCTTCTTTTCAACTCCTTTCTTCCACCCTTACTTCCAAGTGCTAACACCAAAGTGTTCCACCACTTGTGCACGTGTGTTAGCATTTTCCAAAGTATTTTCAAAGGGTTTTACCACTCACTAGAATCTAAATGCATATGCAATGAGTTAGAACTTCTAGTGGCACTTTGATAACCACATTTCACAATGAATTTCTCCCCTCTTCATAGTACGACTATTTATACTAAGCCCACTCACACCCTCTATGGTGTCTTGAGCGGTGAAACAAAAACCTATTTGATACCTTTGCCTTGATCACCATGATTTTTGTTTTTTTATTTTTTCTTTTCAACATGATGAGCACTTGATCATCATAGCCAAACCACTCAATGTCTCCGTCGATCACACCTAAGCTTAGCCGACCACACTAGTGCCTTGCCAACCACATGAATTGGTCTTGGACCATCTTATCTTGTCTACACACTTAGATCAAGGATTAGTTCATAGGTTTTATCAATTAGCCAAAACCAAACTAGGGCTTTTAGGGGTGAATAGCCTAATTTAAAATCGACAAATCACAAGACCAACTTGTTAGACAACAATTAAGCTCTTGCAAAGCTCTAGCTCTACTAGCACTCAAGCAAGCCCACCTACATAATTCTAGTCACACTAACAAGTAATCCTTAGTGAGCTAGAACAACTAGTTACAACTAGAGAGGCTACTCTACTAGCTAACTAACCACACAATAACTAGGCACACTAACAAGTATGAGCTATGAAACGTTAATACAAGTGATAGAGGGAGAGCAAAACAAAGCTGGGTAAGAGACAATCACAATAAGATCAACAATATGAACACCGTTATTTATCCTCGTGGTTCGGTTGCTTTCCGAGAACCTACGTCCATGTTGTGGCGAGACACTAACTTGGTGGCTCACGTGCTAATAGACATCACACGCCTAGCCCACACCTTGGGCGTCGTAAGAACCACACAAGATAGGCTACACAAGCCACGAGCAATCCACTAGAGTTTCCTTTTGCGATCTCCCACGAGGATAGGCACAAGAACCCCTCACAATCACCTTGATCGAAGCCGGCAACAATCACCAATAGCCGCTAAACGATCCATGCTGCTCCAAGCCATCTAGGTGGTGGCAAAAACCAAGAGTAACAAGAATACTGCAGCAACAACGATCTCCAAGTGCCACTAGATGCAATCACTCAAGCAAATGTACTTGGAATCACTCCCAATCTCACTTTGATGATCAAACTATGAAGGAAATGAGTGGGAGAGTCTTGGTTATGCTCACAAGGTGTATTAATATGTTAGAGAGCCAAGAGAGCCGTCCAAGGGCCGACCACCATCTATTTATAGCCCAAAACCAAGCCAACTGGCCGTTACTCACTTGGGCTAAAAACAGGGGCATCGGACACGTCCGATGCCTCCCATCGGACAATCATGCCCGTGTCCGATGCACGCATCGCGCCATGTGGAGACGACCGTTTGAACTAGCCGTTGCGTGCCCAACGGTTCTCACCGTACTGCAATGTCCGATGCTCATCGAACAAACATGTCACCACTGTTGGATGCGATCCAGAGAGCTCCCCAAAGTCGCCGATTCACATCGACACGCGTCGATGGGGTGCCATCGGACAAAAGCCGATGTCCGATGCACTCGCCTCACACGTCGAACAAACCGATAGGTGGGACCCGCGTGGAAAAACTTTCCACCGGACAGATTCGATGTACGAAGCCCTCCTTGTTTGATGCTTCACCAGCGCAGGCCCGAGCCGGGTTAGGCATCGGACACCATGGTCATTTGTGCGATGGCCCTGTGGTATCTGGCTCGATGCAAGTTCAAACGTCCCTCTTGCTCAATTCTCTCCACCCTTGTGCATAGGTGCTAGCTCCAAGTATTTCAACACTTGTGTACGTGAGCTAGCAAGATTTTAAGCCACTCTCAAGGGTTTGTTAACTCACTAGGTCTAGATGCACATGCATGAAGTCAAGGACACCTAGTGGCACTTGATAACCGTAATTGCAACGAGTTCCCCTCTTAATAATACGACTATCTATCCTAAACCGGTCATACTCTATAGTGTCTTGACCAAGCAAAACAAAATGGCCTTAGGTCTTATATCTTTGCCTTGAGCCCTATTTTATTTTTTTTTCTTTCTTTTTTTAAAGTTGGAGCACTTGATCACTTGATCTCCACTTGGCCTCCCACCATCTCTCCATGGTAGCCATCTAGCTCAACTTGGATGTGGACCAACCTATCTCAAACACAACACTAAGTGCAAAGGTTAGTCCACTTTGATTGTCTCAATTACCAAAACTCAACATGGAACTTTCACTAGCCCCTAACTTTTACTCCTCTATTCCAAATTATAAGTCATTTTAACTTTTTTGAGTCAAAACATCTTAAATTTGACCAAATTTATATAATAAAATAATAACATTTATGATACCAAATAAGAAATATTAGATTCTTTATTAATTATATTTTTATAGTATACATATTCGATGTTACAAATATTTATAATTTTCTCTATAATTTTGGTCAAACTTTAGATATTTTGATTTTTTTTAAGAAAGTTATAATGACATATAATTTAAAATGGAGGAGTAGTTCATTTTATAAAGATATAGTACTCACCCTGTCCCTAAGTAAAATAGATTTTAAGAGTTGTCTTAAGTCAAACTTTTTAAATTTTGATCAAATTTCTAGAATAATTTGATTTTATAGTAGCACCATTACAGTACCGCCAACAGGGAAGCCGGAGTTGACTCAAGCCATGCCGGCTGCAATGCCAACTAGCCGGCATCTGGATCTGTTGTGAGCACCAACTAAGGCACATCTCCACGTACCATAGGGAGTCAGTCAGGGACATATCTATACATAGGCAACGTATCGGTGCTAACTAATCAATTTTGTACAAACTTTGAAACTACCGATCGGAACCACTAGATGCTAATTCAATGAATGGGGTGAGGGGCTTAGCGCAAAAAAAAGCCGACGAGTGGGGGCTTAAGCGTAAAAAAAATCTCACCTCTCATCCTATCCATTGGATCAGTATCTAGTAGTCCTAATCGATGAATTTCAAGTTCTGCAAGTTGGTTGGTTTGTACCTGATACGTTGCTCTATATATATATGGGAAATTTTTTTATGAGCCATTAAAAAAAGATCACAATCCTTATGACTCACTAAAAAAGTTTAGCGGTTTTAAAGCGTCCATTGTTCCAACTTTTTTCCCTCCATGCCACTATCGATTGCAGTGTGAAAAGTAAAAAATACCCAAGTCTAAATATATCATTAATTTTTTGAGCATCTTAACGACTTTTAAATAAAAAACTCAAAACTAGAAAGTTGTAGATCTCACCGAGATCTATAATTTTCATAGAAATTTTTTTTATTTAATTTCACAAAAAATATGATTTGATATGATTAATATATCTTAGAAAAATTATATCTTTTTGCGGTATTAAAAGAAGATAATTTTTATATGAAAATTATAGATCTCGACCAGATTTACAACTTTTTAGTTTTGAGTTTTTTCATTTGAAGTCGTTAAGATGCTAAAAAATTTAATGACATATTTAAATTTAAGGGTATTTTTGACTTTTCATAGCTGCAGTGTGACATCGTTAGAGTCCAATTTGATGGAAGTGATATAAAATTGAAGCAGTGACTTTTACGGTGCTCACCGGCGATTACGATTATTTTTTAATGACTCACGGGAATTCTCTCGTATATATATATCCACCAACCTCATCATCACGCCCCAACCACACCACGCCTGCCGTTCTGTCCGCCGCCTCCTGCCCTCCTCCAGTCCACCTCCAGCGCCCGCCGATGGAGTCCCTGGGCGTGCTGCTGCTCTACCCGGTGAACGCGTACCTGGAGCAGGAGCTGGACCGCCGCTGCCGCCTGTACCGTTTCTGGGAGTCGCCCCGCGATGAGTTCCTCCGCGCGCACGCGGGCGCCGTCCGCGCCGTCGTCGGCAATGCCAACTACGGCGCCGACGCCGCGCTCATCGACGCGCTCCCGGCGCTCGAGATCGTCGCCTCCTTCTCCGTCGGCATCGACCGCGTCGACCTCGCCAAGTGCCGCGAGCGCGGGATCCGGGTCACCAACACCCCCGACGTCCTCACCGACGACGTCGCCGACCTCGCCGTCGGACTCGCCATCGCCGTGCTCCGCAGGATCCCGCAGGCCGACCGCTACGTCCGCGCGGGGCTCTGGAAGTCCAGGGGCGACTACACCCTCACCACGCGGGTGCGTCGCTTTGTTTTCCCTGCTCCCTGTTCTTCTTCTCCTCCTTATTAATTGTTCATTCATTATATACCGAATTTCATCTCTTCCTTGATGTACCATACATACATACTGTGCTTCATTCTACGAATTGGGGAAAAATAGGAATCCAGTATATGGTACTTTTTGCGATCTAGTAATTTTTTTAGTATATAGTGAATATGATGATAAATTGGTACTTTGGCGGTGTGAACCTCAGTTCCATATTCTGTGTACTATTAGGCGTCTACTTTAGACAGATTGGTTGAGGTGAGGATAGTACTCCTGTGAGGACGAGGTTTATTGGCAGCACAAGAGGGGCGAGTTACGACCGAATAAAAAGAGGGAACTATCTATATCAATAGGGTTGATGAACGAGAGCACAAATTCTAAGGCAATCAAAGATAAAATGATTTTGTTTCATGTCATATGTTGCCTTTCTCAAATTTGGTTGTCTCATTTGAACATTTCCTGTATACCATGTGAAAAACATAGATTGGCAGCACCTGAGTGGAAGGCGCTTTCGGCAGATTAAACAGTCACATTTTCGGAACTAGCCTAGCCCTGGGGTACGGTAAAATTGGATCCTATCTTACTGAAATTAAAAAGGGGTTGTTGGGCTTCTTAAAGCCACAAATGTTGCTTCTCGGGATGACGTGCTTTCAAGTGGAAATGGAAGATGGGGAGGACCACATCCTTTTAATGTTGATGTTTGTAGGTTGAGAATTTTCTGGGGTCTAGAGATGGTTATCGCATCTGCACATGAAAACATTGGATGCTGTGTTTTTATCACCTTTCACTAGGAGAACCCTATCCGTAGGAACTTTTTGGCATTGTTCCTGATGACATTACATGTAATCAGGTTAGTCATCTGTCAAACTTAATCAAGGTTCAGTTAGGTTGCTTGTTTAAACCGTGAGGTCATCGATGCGTTGGGTCCAGAGGGCGTGCTCGTAAACGTTGGCCGCGGAGCACACGTGGACGAGCCCAAGCTCGTGTCCGCGCTCGTCGAGAGACGCCTGGGAGGAGCAGGCCTCGACGTGTACAAGCACGAGCCCGTGGTTCCGGAGCGGCTTTTCGGTTTGGATAATGTCGTCGTGGTGCCTCATGTGGGCAGCGACACTGAAGAAACGTGCAGGGCGATGGCTGACCTAGTGCTAGGAAATCTAGAGGCGCACGCGACGAATAAGCCTCTGCTCACTCCGGTGATCTGATTGTTGCTGGTAGGCACTTGGTCAGATATTAGTAGTAGAAGAACATGACGCTGTGGTTGTAATCCCAACTCTGCACTCTGCTATTTTTTTTTTTGGTTTGCCAGTCAGTAGGCTGTTACTCAGATCAGCCATGATTAATAAGAGTACCTATCTATGGAGATACTCTCACATTGACATATGATTGTCGCTAGCACTTGGTCGATCGGAGATTAGTTGAAGGTCATGACACTATGATTTGTAATCCCAACTCTGCACTCTGCTATTTTTAGTTTGCTACTAGTCAGCCTGCCATCTCCAGGGCATGCTGTTCTCCTTTAAGTCAGGTTGTTACTCGATCAGACATGATTAATAAGAGCATCTATCATCTATGGAGATACTCACATTGGCGTATGATTTTGAGTTTCATCATTTCTTCTTATCTTTTGCTGTGTGGTGTGGCCAGTGCAATGAGCATGATGCATTCTTCACTTTGCTGTCATGAATGGATGTTTCCTTTTTTGTCAACCTTGCTGACTTAGTAATGCGCATCATTGACATATTCAGCTCTGATTTCCTGACGCAAAGAATTCTTCGTGTCGTCATTGCATTGCAGTTCAGCGGGAAGAGAGTGGGCATCATCGGGCTGGGCAGGATCGGGCAGGCGGTGGCGAGGCGCGTGGAAGCCTTCGACTGCCCGGTGAACTACCACCAGCGGACGGAGCAGAAGTCGGTGTACCCGAACTACACCTACTACCCGACGGTGGTGGAGCTGGCGTCCAACAGCGACGTGCTGGTGGTGGCGTGCCCGCTGAACGCGTCGACCCGGCACATCGTGAGCCGCGAGGTGATGGAGGCGCTGGGCCCGAAAGGCGTGCTGATCAACGTCGGGCGCGGCCCCCACGTCGACGAGCCCGAGATGGTGGCGGCGCTGGCGGACGGGCGGCTCGGCGGCGCCGGGCTGGACGTGTTCGAGGACGAGCCGAACGTCCCCGAGGCCCTGCTCGGGATGGACAACGTCGTGCTGGTGCCGCACGTCGGCAGCGGCACCTACGAGACGCGCAAGGCCATGGCGGACCTGGTGCTGGGGAACCTCGAGGCGCACGTGCTCAGCAAGCCGCTGCTGACTCCGGTGGTCTGATGAGTCCGAGCCTCGTCGGCACGGCTGGCTGCGCGTGGTGTTTTGAATAACAGCAGGTAGGCGCAGCGCGCCAGCGCCTGATGATGAACTCCCTCAGCTAGTGGGGATTGAAATGTTTTGTGTCGAAATGATCGCCGCTTGTGAAATGAAACTGAAATGTTGTCGATTCTTCGTGACGAGAGAGTAGCCAGTGCATATATACACGAATGGGGGATGGAGATGCATGCAGCGGCTGTGGCTGACGACCTGGCCCCGCGCACGACCAGCGGGGCGGCCAAGTGGAGAAGAAGCAAGAGAGTCCCAGCCCCACTGACGTGTGGGGTAGCATGCTACTCATCACGTTGAGGAGTGAGCCCAGCGGAAGGGACGGGGACCCAACGCCTCATCTCACCTCCCGTCCCGTCCATTTCTCGCGGCGACCAAGACGACGCACCAGAGTCCAGAGAGAACGAGATCTAGACGACGAGGAGCTGAGGAAGAGGCACAGGAAGCAGGAGAACACAGGAGAGGTAAGCAAGCAAGCGCCCTCTCCGCCATGGATCCACATCCATCTTCCTTCTTCCTCCCTCGCTCCCTCCTCTGCGCATGGCCTCGTGATTCGATTCATCTGTTGCCTACCTTGCCTTGCGTGGTTCTCCGTCGTCTCTGTCGCTGGATCCTGCTGACTCCTCAGGCCGCGCGTGCCCGGCCGGCCTCGCATCTGATCCACACCACACGGCCGAGCGATCGTTTGGTTCTTGGCGCTTTATTGCATTGCATTCCAAGGTTCACTCATCAGTGCATGTGCGTGCGTGCATGCCTCCTCCTCCTCTTCTTTTGCCATGCATCTTGTCTTGGCGCTCCAATATAATGTCTTGACTTCAACTACCTACAGTACGTGCACCCGGAACATGCGGTCCGTGACACTGCACCTTCTGTTGTGCTCCACGGACACACACGCTCCTCGTGCCGACACGTGTCCGCCTCACCTAGCAGCGACGCCACTCCACTTGCCACCTGCTCCTCCTATGTGCACTGCTCGCCAGTGACTGACACGTGCCTTTTCGCCCCCTGCCCACCTGGCAATGTGTATATACTCCTAGTACTATGCAACAAGCTACAGTCAAGTAGTAATAGCAACGTGTGACTGAGATTACGGGTCACCCTTTTCATCCATCCATTCATTGCAATGGCTATAGTTACTCCCAAAAGAACCTCTCTGTCTCTCTCTGTCTCTCTCTGGGAATGCAAGTCCAAACAAAGCTCTTCTTGACGACTAGCATATCATGGCATTTTTTGTTTTTTGCATTTTTTTGAATTGACAAAAACACTGAGTAGTATCTCTGGCAAAGCGGTGTGGGATTGGATGGACTTGATATCTCTACCTGCACACGCCACAATGCCTTGCCTGCCCAGTTCCTATCTATAGCTTGTGCATAGTTGCAGGCATAATGCACATGCAATTTTCAACAAAACACAAGCTGAAAAAAAAGGCAGTAATGGCATTGCCTCACCAATCTTGTATACCTTCTTCCACAGTGGCGCCAAAAGCCAGCTGGCTACGGCTACCTTCCTTCCTTGTTCTTTCATAACGCAGATGCAGAGTCATACGCTTTTTTTTCCCAATTATTATTATATTGCAGGTTGTTAGTCTCACTCTCAGCAAGAACGAACCGCGCGTCCGTCCGGCCGGCGCGATGAAGCGCAGGGCGTCAGGTCGTCGGACGCGACGAGCCAGGCGACGACGACGCCGCCGCGGACACCCAAGACCCCGAACAACAAGCGGCCGGCGTACTACGTGCAGAGCCCGTCCCACGACGGCGGCGGCGACAAGTCGTCGTCGTCGACAACGACGACGACGGCGCACACTACGCCGGTGTACAACAGCCCGCTCGACTCGCCCTCGCACGCTTCCTCCACGGGCCGCCACTCCAGGGTCTCCTCCGCCACCCGCTTCTCGGGCACGCTGCTCCGGTCCGCCTCGCCAGCCGCCGGCAGGTCCGCTGGCGCCGGGCGGAAGAAGCGGCACGGCGGCGGATCTGGCCACAAGAAGAAGAAGTGGCGCGAGGTGGGCGGCGTCATTGACGAGGAGGCGGCGGACGAGTCAGACGACGAGGTCGACCAGGAGCAGGAGGAGGAGGAGGAGCTCCCGGTGTGCTGCGGGGTGGTCTTGTGCGCATTGATCCTCGCGTTCGCCGCCGCCTGCCTTGTCGTCTGGGGCGTTGCTCGCCGCTACAAACCCACCGTCGTCGCCAAGGTACATCACATCGATTACTGTGCGTGTTTAGCGCAGGAATTGTATTGATTCAAAGGAATCGATTTCTAGGATGCTCACCACTACGAGAAGATCGATCTGCATTCTTGCATGAATGACCATTGTGATCTCTGAACTTTTGAAGTTCACGCAGCATTCCCATCAACTGAACCGAACTCCCTAAATTCATGCATTCCCATCAACTGAACCGTATTCATTGATCATATGCAGAGACCCAAAAAAATCCTTATTTTTTCTAAATAAAAATACCTATTGTTCATGCTGTCAGGTTCCTATTATTTACAAATTAAAGATTGCTGTGTGTTCCATGCATGTGTGCAGAGCCTGACAGTGCACAACTTCTACGCCGGGGAAGGCACGGACCGCACCGGGGTGCCGACGAAGCTGGTGACACTAAACTGCTCGCTGGCGATGTCCGTCCACAACCCTTCCGCCATGTTCGGCATCCACGTCTCCTCGAGCTCCATCCGGCTCATGTACTCGGAGATCGCCATCGCCACCGGTCAGGTACGCGTCCTTAGTCCTTACTGCAATCTCTCTCACCATGATACAAACGCAGGAAAGAATTCCCTCCCCTTCTGCTGTTCTCTCCTCTCCTCTGCAGCTCCACAAGTTTTACCAGCCGAGGAAGAGCCGCCGCGCCGCGGCCGCGGTCCTGCACGGCGAGAAGACGCCGCTCTACGGAGCCGGCGCCACGCTTGTGGTGGCTAACGACGCCGGAGGCAAAGGGAAGGTGCCGCTGACGCTGGAGCTGGCCGTCAAGACCAGAGGGCACGTGATCGGGAGGCTTGTGAGGGTGAAGCACGCCGTGCGCGTCAGGTGCCCGGTCGCCATCGACCCCGGCAGCTCCAGGCCGGTCAGGTTCCGTCGGAGCGATTGCAGTTACAGGCGACGATGAGCTGAGTTTGCAGCGGCTTGATCAGCTAGAGAAGATGCGATGCATGCATGGATCGATCACCACCTTCTTCTTCTTCTTATTTGTTCGTCGTCGTCGTCGTCGTCTCTTTGGCTGGATTAATAATGGCTGTCATCTTGTTTCTTGTAGATATAGTTGCGCCTATACTCCTATATGTTCTGTTCATAACCCGGATGGAGATCGACTAGTAACCAGAGAATTGAGCAGCAACAAATGCAGTATCTTTCTTGTGTAGTGTACCATTATTGCTTCTAGTCAACAAAGCTTGGTAAACTTGTTGTCGGAGCTTTTCAGTCATATCTTTCCTCCGGTTGGGTTCTTGCTCTTGTTCTTGCACAATGGGGTTTTCCCCAGCAGGTTCTGTTAAAGGAAACAAGCATTAGTTGTCGGCAACATGTTCTGTTTATAGTGAAAAAAACAAGAACTCTTGGTCGGCAACATGTTCTATTTATAGTGAAAAAAACAAACACATTCTTCTACTAGTCACGGCATGTTCTATTTATAGTGAAAAAACAAGCACTATTGTTCGGCAACATGTTCTATTTATAGTGAGAAAAACAAGCACATTCATCTATTTGTCACGGCATGTGCATAATAGTAATAGCCACGGCATGTGCATATTTTAAATAATATGGAAAAATAACGTACCATCGAGATTTTGTAGATAATTGAAATCGATTGCACCAAATTCATCTAGCGGCAAGTTTAAATCAAATCCTGTAACAATAGTCCTTTATGATATGAGAAAGCGATTGAGAGGAAGAGATAGCACGGTAGAAAATGGACAAGAGCGAACAAGTAATACCGTTGTCATGTTCCAGCGGAGGGTCGTTGAGATCAAATGCAACGTCGCCGTCGTCATCGTCTTCTAATCGAACGTTGAGATCAAACGCAGGAAGGAAATTAGCCATTGTGCCGTGAGAGTGGAAGAAGTAGATGAACAAGAGCTAAGCCATGTCGTATAGGATAGCAACAAGCTAAGAAGCGAGCAAGCTAGCTAGGCGTGCAAGGAAGAAGCTAGGCGTGCAAGTAGTAGATGCAAGCGTCGGACTCCAAGCGTCAAGCGTCTTAAATAGAATAAGCAGGACTCCAAGCGTTGTACTCGTGCGGCGCCGAATTGAAATGCCGTGAGCGCCAGCGGAAACAAGCGAAAAAATAGCAACAAACAAAGAAGCGAGGAGCGACAATGGCCAAAATCGAAGATAATGCGCCCAAACCAGCCTACCGACGCGCGCCAAACCATCCCACCCGACGTTTCAAAGTGCCATGCAATTTTTCCACAGACCCATGCAAAATCTTGTTAAAACAAAAAAACGCCGGCCAAGGGAGTCGAACCCTGCCCGCAAGCCTCAAGTCCCACCCACCTGACCAGTCCAGCTACGAATCGTTCTCGTCTAGGAGTCACCCACAGACGTATTTAATAAGGGTAAACATGGAAAAATACCACTTAATTAATGACACCTTGGTAAGCACAATCATGTTCTAAACGACTTTTATTTCCTATATGGAGGGAGTATATGTTCTGTTCATAACCCGGATGGAGATCGACTAGTAACCAGAGAATGAGAGAAATAATTTCGGCAGCTTTCTGCGATAACTCGTGATTTGTGATTTGCATGACAGCAGCAGGGCATATGCACTGAACAACGACACGAATCCGGATGAGATGAATGAGCGGATGCTCCGGTCATGCAAATCCCTCCCTGATGCTGTTCCCTCGAGAAGAGCTTTTTCTATTCGTTGATTTTTAGAGTACTTCCTTCTCGACCGGAGAGCACTTCGGGCAGAATCTTATGTTGAAATTTAGTGTGCTGTGAAGGCTGGACAAGAGGCCCATGGGCTCCAGAACCCCCAAACCCTAGCCACTGGCTCAACCCCCGCCGCCGCCGGCGCCCTCCCCCTCCCCCTACATCCGAGCCCTCCCTCTTCTCTCCAGCGCGTGGGTGCACGCGACAGCGCGGCACGGCCGCCACCGCCCGCGTCGGGCGCGTCAGGCGTCCAGATGGCGCCCCCAGCATAGCGCGTGCTCCCCGTCGTTGACTCCGCCGGGCGCCGCTCCTCCGCCGGCCTCCACCCTGGTGTTGGTGGCCGATGACGCTGGACAACCACCTCCCTCCACTGCGCTCGTCTGGCGGACGCTGCAGACGTCGCCGAGGCCTCCCTCGCCGGGCTCCATGGAGGACGCCTCCACCGCCGGTGCCCCCTCGCCCTCCACGCCGCCGGGAGCTGCCAGCGGCGCCACAGCCGTGGCCACCCCGCAGTCCGGCAAGGGGGCCGGATCTGGCGCCCCCGCCACTGGAGCCGGCTGCCGCCGCCGCGACTTCCGGGCGGCCCACCGGATATCGACGCCGCCGGCCGGCGGAGAGGAGCTGCCACCGCCATCAGCCCGGCCGCCACTGACCTCCCCAGCTCGTCCTCCCTCTCGCCGACCGCGGCTCCTTTCTTTCCGGCCTTCTCGGAAGAGCGCACGAAGAGCCGGCGGTGGGCCAACAACAACGGCGAGGAATCTGACTACGACCATCCCATAACCTACATGGAAGCCGCTCGTCGCCCGACGAAGCGTGTCACTGTGTCCTCCGTGTGCAGCCAGACTGTCATGGTTCGGGGCCGTGACGGAGCAGATGCTGGATGGCAGGGACCTGGGCGTAGGCGGCGGAAACGCAGCAGGCCGTGCCCCCAGCTGGTGCACGGCTTGCCTGCTCGGGCAGTAGAAGGCCACGTCCCTGCCCGCCAACGCCTCGGCCATCGCAGAGGGGTCTCCGCCCCGAAACCGATGGGTTGCGGGACATCCTCCCCCGGGAGGAGACGCGTCCAACGGTCGCCTCGGTTGAGCCTCATCCAAAGCAGCTCCCGAAGGCCCTGAGGATCCACGTAGAGTTTCGCGAGTGTCTCTCCTACTTACACCGAGTAGCGACTTGCCGCTTACCACGGCGTTGTTCTGCTGTTGCCGTGGTTAACCGGACACCTCGCCAAGGGCGCGGCGACCGGACTGCCGACATTGGCGGCGAAGGGTGCCAACCTGCCATGACACTTTGCTCGTGATGACCCCTTGGCCTCCCAGCACGCGCCACACGACTGTGCGGAGGGTGTCGCACCTGGAGCCGTGTGGGGCGTCGGCGGCCGACGTCGACGACGACGCCGGCGGCGCTGAATTAAGCTGAAGAAGGACATCAACATGGCTGCGCCTGCCGACCACACCAACAACGTAGCTATTTCTGCTGCTACACTCTGCTTCCCCAAGTCAAATCCGCTGGCGTTGGCACTGTGCGCGAGCGTGGGGCCTCCCGCATGGGTCGTCTTGGTCGACCCGATGCAGGAGGTGCTCACCGCCTCGCTCGTCGGGAGCCAACCACCGAGAGAACCAATGCCCGAATGCCAGTCTACTCTGGAGGCTGCCTCTTTAGAGAGTGAGGAATCGTCGATGGATACCCGTTCTCCGGTGACGGTTGCTCTATCGCCTCAGTTGTCGCTGGTGCAAGAGCTGCCATAGCTCACGCCGCCTCGGTTGGGACAACTCGATGTCAAAGATAAGATCACGGTGGGCAGGCGCACCCCAGCGACGCGACACCCACGCCGCGTGAGGCTGCTCGGCATCTCGCATGGTTCACCAAGGAGGTGCAGTGCAAGAAGATGTCGCCATTGATCGCCAGTCCGCCAAGGTAGAAGGCGGTAACAAGGTGCCCCCTACCAATCAGGAGTAGGCGGATTGCCACTCAGCCGTTGTCGCACGTACCGACCTCCAAGCGGGGCGAGGTTGATGAGGACATGAGCTCCATGCATATGACCATGCTTGAAGATAGAGGACGAGGAGATCAGCGCGGGTGTCCTATCCGAGAAGGAGGCTCAAAGCTCATCTGGTTTGAGTCACCAAGGTGGAGGCCCAAATCAAGTTCGAGGCTATCTCGGGTTCTAGGACTAGTCTATCATAAAACTGATCACACGGGCGTGTTCGGGCTCCGTTTTCGACGATCCACATGGATGGAAAGCTAATTAGATAAGGAAGCCAATGCAACTGGTCTTACGTCAAAAGTCCTTCGGAATCAACGGGAATCTTCGAAACAAGTCAGCGTCTAGAATCTGTCATGGTGCTGCGACACCGTCTTTTGGTCCGTTGGGCCGTGTATCGTCTTAGAGCCCATTAGGGGGTGCGTCCAGGGGGGTGACGTCCGAGACTCTATAATTAGCAGCCATCGCTCTCCTTAGGGTTTGTGTTTTGTTTAATTCTTGATTTCCTCATGAAACAGACGTCGTTTTGCTGCAACTGTGCCGCCAAGGCCGCTTACTGTGAACCAGGGCCCGGTTCTTGAACTTGTTTGCCTCTGGCAATTAGACCTTTCGAATAAAGACCTGAACTCTTTCTCGTTATCATAAGCCTCATATTAATTTGCAATTTCAGATTGCGTTCATCCCGTTCTTACTCGTGTTCTCGATTCGCTTGCAGGAAAGCCTTCTCGGCGAGGTCAATCGCGTTCGCGTGGTTGATAACCAACAGAGCAGTGGTGTAATGGTTGTGAGGGTCCGAATTAGTCTTGGTTCGAAGCTTAGATCATGAACGTCGAGTCTCCACCAATCGATGTTATCGTACCTATCGGAAGATCGGGCATTGTCTACATTAGAGGTACTACTCATAAAAAGGATGGGCATCACGCTGCCGCCGGCACCAGTTTCTTCCGCGTCCAATGGAGCATACAACGCCATTTTCGCAGGGAACTTGACAACGAGCCAAGATGAAGCTCTGGATGAGTTATTTCCAGCGACCAACACCAGGGCAGGTAGAAAACTCTTCTCAGACGCCGGAGTAGGATCGCGAGGCCAACAACGGAGGCGCCTAGCTTCGTAGGTTCCAGCGCTGCTCTTAGCTCGGTTGTACCTTTTATGTAATATCGAAGCTTGGAGTTGTTTGCTAGGACGGTCCAGTCTGCGACTGTAAGACCTCCGATGGTGCTGGTTAGAAGCGCGTTGTTTGTATATTTAAACTCTTC